AGCTCGCCGGCGAATTGTTGCTGAGATCGTTTGCGCATTGCCGGATCTGTCGTGGAATCCTTCCATCCAATTACTCGCCACTGAGGCCAGTCACGCCCACGGCCATCAAGGAGCCAACGGAGCGCACACAGCGGGGAACGGACGGTGCCGGCAATCTACACACAATCGCACACACACGCCAAAACACGCATAATAGCAGGACGAGATGAGCAGACAGTCGGTGTTGACGGGCTACCACCCTCACAGCCAGCATCACCCGCATGCACACCTACACCAGGGCCACTATGGAGTTCCGGCTCAGAACCACTACCAAGGCGGCCTAGCGTTTGCTATCCGCGCGCCGGTCCTTGCTCCCGGGAGCTATAATCATCACACTGGCCACCATCACCCAGGCCACCAGCATCGCAACCCCCACCTCAACATGGCCGCGTATCCCTCCGACGACGACTATGCCCACCTGCAGAAGCTGTCGAGCGAGTACGAGCCCGAAGCCACTGTGAGTTGAACTGCGACAATATTCGCCCAAGCGCGCTGACCGCCCAAGGGCCCACTGGTGGGCGAACGCCAAAGCAGCGCTGCCATCACGACGCAATATGCCACCGCAGATCCCGTCTTCCAGGTCAAGACCGCTGCGTTGCCCGCCAAATATGCCTACTTCCGCACCTGCCGTGGCGACGGCCACTGTGGATGGCGGGGTGAGTGCCCATCGCTTTCCTCGTGCTGCTTGCCCGTGCTAACAAGAACAGCAATCGCCTTCACCTACTTTGAGGCCCTGCTGCATGTGGGCGACGTGAGCAAGCTGGACCATGAAAAAGGCCGCCTCAACTCGCTGGGCAACTTGCTCTCAAATATCGGCTACTCGCGCGATATCTGGATTGACTTTGCCGAAGAGGCGTTCGAGCTCATGACCAGGCTTGCCGAATCGCTGCGCGCCATGAATGGCCAAGCCGATAGCATTCTCCTGCGTACTTTCAACGACCCGGGCGAGTCTATGGCAATCATCACCTACGTCAAGGTTTGCATTCCACATCTTTCATTATTCGAGTTGCTAACTCCCCCTCTAGCTCCTAGCCAGTGCATGGGTGCAGACGCACGCAGATGATTTTATGCACTTTGTAGACAACGGCGACGTCAAAACATACTGCTCCAACTTCATCGAACCCACTCAGTGTGAAGCCGACAATGTTGGCATTGCCGCCCTTGCCGAAGCGCTGATCAAGCCTGCTGGGTTTGGTCTCGAAGTATGGTATCTGGACCGCTCACCAGGCGAAGAGATCAACCGCAGCTTCTACTCAGAACCGACAGACGCCCATCATCGCCCCATCCCCGGTGCGCCCATGTTACGACTGCTTTATAGGCCGTAAGTACACACCGTGCATGGCACTATCTTTCGCCTACTAATTCTCCCCAGTGGCCACTACGACATCCTATACAAGGCTGGAGACATACCACAAGTCCAGCACCAGCCTGTTCCCCAACAGCAACCACTTCATGTTGCCCTAGCCAACTACACTGACGAATTCATACCGACCGCTACCAACGTCGGCGACGTCATGAACATGATCCCGGGAATGTACCCCTCTGGTGTCGGTCTAGGCCAGCGATGGCCTTCACTTTCGTACGACTTCAGCCCCAGTCCCACTTCTCATCCTCAGGTTACGCCTGTCCAGCCATACGCCCCGACACCGACGCCTGTAACGCCGGTTAGCACTTCCCACTTGGACTTTGTTACACCACTCCATTCTAGCAACGCAAGCCAGTACAACCCGCCGAGTCATCACAGCATACATCTCGACCAACCTCCTGTGACACTCCCCATACATCCCCCACCGCCACCCGTGAGCATCGACCGAGCAGCTCCCATGGGTGTTGAGAGAGGCGGCCCTTTCCGGCCTTCAATGTACGAGTTGGAACCAGGTTTTGGCTCTTCGATGCAAGTCCAGCCGTTTCAAACGTCCATCTTTCGCAAGTGAGTATCGGCCCGATAATGCCTGTTGACCTTAACTGACATGTACGAGTTCCCACTTCAACACTGCGCATTTCATGAATCCCGACTTTGAACCCGAGCAATGGTGTCCGGACGGCGAATACTCCATAGGGAACAAAGGCCGCCACAAGTCACACTCATCTTGAACACTTTTCTATGCCCGAACTCGACCCCGCGCTTCACTGGTGGCCCTTTCCCGATATCTTAGCGACTACTAGCGTGGCGTTTATCGAGCTTGCTCTACTTTCTCGGCATCCTGCATCATACTTCCACGGCCTCAGCACACTTACGACGAATGACGACCGATACCATATTTAACCTCTTTCGGAATATCGCCCAATCACCTCTACACATGCAAAAGCGACGGTACTCACAGTGCCTAAGTTCGGGCTATTTGGCCACCCACAGATGCTTCCAATCTAGCATCCATCCACGACCTATTTCCATCAAGCGAGGGCGGAGTACTGTACCTTCTTTCTTCCTTACAAGCCAAACCCGCAAGGATCTACGACCGTGACGAATACCAAAGACTATCTGCCTCAGGGTGATCGACTTTAGAGTTGAACATCTTTATTGGTTTCTGTCTGTTCTCTTCTCCCATGGCATTATTAGCGATCACTCATCACCTTCGACATATTTTAACCATACACCCTCTCTCAGTTTAATACAAACACTATTCGGTATGCACGGTCTTTCCATGACTATAATTGCCGCGCCCCACTACGCTGGAAAACCCATGATTGCGGCACAGAACCCGTCTGCGTCTGCTTTTCAATCCCTTGGCCCGAACGAACTGTTGCGAGCCCCCACGAATACCTTCGTTGAGAATCCTACATCTTCAAGATGTACCTCGGCCTGCGTCCGATCAGGACATGGCATGCCCAGGCTGCAAGGATCCATGTCCCAGAAGCTACACACAGTAGCCATGACCGATGACAAGGTATCTCTATCACTTTGCAGGCGGCCTTGTCGCCGATGGCATTACAATGGACAAGGAGGACCGTTAAAAACAAACCAATATAAACCCAGGTATCCCACTTACTGAAGATGACGACGTGATGTATATGTAACTCCACTATGACATGGACCCTGAACAAGGAAGCCCACACTGCGTGCCGCAGAAGCAATTGCAGAGCAGGAGAAAGATCCGAGCCTATGCAACCTCATCACAATATAGTGTATCCCGAAAGTCTGGCTCTTTGCAACCTCGACCCAGTCGTCGGCGAACAATCTCAAACCATTCCCCATTCCCCATTCCCAAGCCAATATACCGAATCATTATTCCCAACAAGATCCAGCCCCCACGTTACATCTCTCACACCTCGGCAACGCATAAGATCGGCGGTTAAAAAAATAATCTCCACTCCCTTTTCTCCTCCCCCAATTCATCGGACGATCACGCCCTGCCCTGCACTTCTGCAATACTCTGATCCTTTGCATGTTATAAACGGTCTAAACGCCCGTCTCCGTCCGCCCATCGCAGCAAGATCGAACCATTATGCATGTGCTCGCAGGGATTGCGCAACGCGCGTTGCCCCATACGCGACTAGCCTTGTATAAGAGCTTGTGTGTGGTGTGTGTGTGACGTTGATTACTCATACAAGTACAGTTTTGCTTTTTCGGGGAGATGGGGAAAGCAAGGCAGAGAGAAATCTGCCTAGGGAGTGCGGATGTCTGAGGAAGGATCGCTGAGTGAAGCTAACAAAAGGGTGCAGAAAAGAGTCATGTTTACGATCTCGGAAGCGAGTGGCGGGGGTTCAATGCAAGATACGCGGTTCGCTCAATGAAGCGAGTAGTTGAGGCAGGGGTTTTTGTAATATTGAACTTGCTCTATTGTATCTCTGTGTGTGTGCGTGTGGTGTACGGCATTTTACAGTACAGGGGCAGCGAGCATATGGGCAGCACGAAACGCTATTCGTTCACCGTCTTTCCTGTACGCCTTTTCCCACCACCGGGGCAAAAGGTGTGTGTGTGTTCGTTGAAACAAACAGGATTGCGTTGGCGGCATCTTGGAACGGCTGTTCGCAGGATCGGTGGGAGGGTGGGTAGTAGTTCGATAGTCGCTTGGTTTTGGCCCCTGCGAGTCAGGTGTGCAGCAGGAACCACGCTCCACACTATAGCGGGACGGCTGGTATAGGGCCCGCGCGAGGTCGCACATTATGCGAGTATACTCACACCGCTCGAGACATGCCTTGACTCTTGCTCTGTTTCGTCCTTGGGCGAAAAGTGAAGCTTGCGGCTCACGCACAGCGAAAGGCGTAGTTTTGCAATTGCCGGCCGGATGACAAGGTCGTGTCTTACAGCAGCCAGCTACATTGCCTCCACCTTTCATCCAAAGGCTGCTCATTAACAGAGAGAGGTCCATGGAATGAAGCATGAACTTGCGGCGTAAGCCGAACAGTAGCACAGCAGGACGGGTTGAAGAGCTGCGTGATCGAAAACCGGCCGCAGCCTCTGAACTTGGCTTTTCGTCCCGTGGTGCAGCTGACGTTGATCCAAGCGTGACATTGAAGACACGGCGTCGTGCTTGCGCAGTACAATCATGTTCGTCAATAGTAGCACAATTGCGAAGAGGAAACCTGCACGGACTACCCCGCTTCGTGTGATGACGGCTTGAAGAGGGCTTGGCTATGTGTTCAAGAGAATTGACCTGGGCGTCTTTGTGTTTTTCGCGATACAGTAGCAAGTCCGTGTATACGAATATTCGTCTTCGGGGTCTGACATGAGCAGTCTCGGAGTTCACCGGCTGGGACGCGTAGGCGAAGGATATCAATGCCGCGGTTTTCCGACGTGGTGTTTCGGACTCTTGCCATGTCGTGATGTACATGCTAGGCGATGAAGACACTAGACGCGTAAACGTACTACATATCGAGGTCTAGTGCTGCGGCTATACCAAGACTGCGGGCGTAAGCATGTGCAGCATCTCATCCATTCTATGCCGCAGGAGTCGCCTTATCGCGAAGAACCTTTGTCGGTATCGTGGCCTTATACGCAGCCCCGCTATCGTCGGTGCTCAGGACTCGTCAGCTGCATCGGTATCATCCGATTCAGACCCGGAAGTGGCGTCTGTGCCGTCGTTCATCTCCACATCCCCGTTGGTCTGCTTGCGAGTCGCGCCGTTAGTACTCATTCTCCTCTTCGCTCGTGTTTTGGTGCGTTCGGCCCTCTTCTTTTCTTGGCCCTTGAAGTAGTCGTTCTCTTCGCGCAATTCTGAAAGTTGAGAGAATGCAACTTTTTGGATGCGTTGCAGACTTGCAAGCTGCTTCTTCAACTCCCTGAGTTCGGCCTGCTGAGCTTTGGCTGAGGAATCAGATGTAGTCGCACTACCTTCGTCCAGCGCCATGAAGTCGGCTGTCGAGGCTGAAGCGCCCTTGGGCTGAGCAGCCCACGATTCTAGCTCGGCTAAGCTCTCCTCCAGCATACTGGCAGGGAAACTGGAGTGCGTAAGAGCTTCCTCGAAGGCGCTTCTTCCCGCAGATCTCTTCTCAGTTGCAGAAACGTGGGGGCTGCGCAGCCGACCCGTCAGCTGCAGGTTCAAGGTATAGTTTGGCGGAATCAGGCCATTTACGCTGCTCGTCAGCCCTGCATCTTGTTTCGGCTTGACAATAGCCTGGATCTTGAAAGTCGGTTCCGGTGCGTTGGGAAAGCCAGTCGGCGGGAGGAATCGAAGGTTTGAGACAGGACCGGGAAGATTGGCAGGGGTAGAAAGATAGTTGGACTTTGCAGTATCCCAGAGTGCTATCTTGCCGCTGGCGTGGCCCGAGATGATTGTTGTGCCGTCCCAGCTAAGGCTCAGACAGAGGGCTCCGCCGAGCTTCTGCGACTCTGCATTGAACCGGCTCTTTGGCGGCGGCTGAATTGGCCGGTGAGACGAGGTACTATCTCGAAGGACGTCTATTGAGGTAGTCTTCTGGACGTCATCGTAGAAGTCGATGGTTTGTAAGCTGCCGTCAGTGTAAGCCACATAGAATGCCCGGTCTGCAGGGTCGAGAGTGACTGCAGTCGGTATCTCAGGCAGCAGATATGTGCGCAGAGCTTGGCCATTGTGGTAGTCCCATACTATAGCAGACTTGTCCCCTGATATTGACACGGCGATGTTGGCAGTGCTCGAGCTGTGCCCGCAAACGATGGACGATATGGGGCCGCGGTGGGTAGAGAGGGTCTGCATCGGCGAACGCGAGGCGTCGGGAGAGAATGACAGTATCGTGGGAAGCGCCCATACGTGAATCATGGCATCCGAGGAGCCTGACAGGAAGAAGTTGGACGACGGGTCGACAACAATACTCGTGACTGGCTGGAGATGGGACGTGGACGTGGAGACAAGACGGCCTGAGCAGACCTGAGATATGTATTAGAGAAGTTGCACACTACACCTATCAATCCAAACTCATGACTGACCTCCCAAGCTAGTATGCGCCCACTCTCAGTCCCCAGCAAGAGCACGCTGTCCTGCGCCGCGAGTGCGATGCTGTGTATCCTCTCTGGGAAGGGCACGAGGGCCTCCTGGTTGCCCTTCTCTCTGCTGTAGACATGGACAATCGCCTTCTCCGACTGTGCAGCGAAGATATGTGAGGCGCTCACAGCTATGCCATTAGGCGCAGCCGCGCTCTTCTTGAGGGCCTGTCTTTGGGCGACGAGCGGCTGGAACTCGTGGACGAATATACCCGCATCTTTGGTGACGCCCGTGTTTGGCTTGGTCGATGCCGATATGGCGGCGACGAATTGTTCGGTGAGCATGGCCGGGCGTGATTGCGGAAGTTCGTTGTCGCAAGTCGAAAGCTGCAAGCTCTAGAAACTTTTTGGTGGAGCATCCAAAGACTGGGGGTCTGTGCACCTAGCCGCGGCAGGGTCCGAATCGGGCAACTTGTCCAAAGCCGTCGATTGCGGGTGTCTAGATAATTACCACGGCCGTCTGAACCTACTCGAGGTCCCATCCGAAGTAGCTCTAGACGCAGCACCCGTCGACGACACACAGAGCTCCAAATCAGCATCCTTCGGCACATCTTTTTGCATTAGTCGAGGTCGCCGCGCAGATTTTGAATGAAAAGAGCGGCGCCTTGCCTGCGGGACCGTTTCGCTGCTGCGTTGGCAATGAGTAGGTCCCGCTAATGCCTGGCGTCGCCATCTGCTATCACGAGGCCGAGACATGGCCCGGGGCCTGACGAAAGCTCGTAAAGCTACCCCGCATGCAAGTAGCCTAGCCATCTTGGCCACAGGTAAGGGCTGACATAGGGCTGTTCAGCCGCGTACCAAGTGGATTCTGCTGCGTCAGCTCGTCGCCTTCTCGTAACATCACGACTTATCGAGGAAGGTGAACTTTAGTGCGGAACTGAAACACGCTCAACTCGCCGGCAACAGTTTTAGTAACATGTGTGATGTGATGCGGGAATATCTATGATCACGGCTACCGAATGCTGAATACCTACCCAGCTACATTCACGGGTAGGCCGACAAAGAACTGCCCCGCGTGAACCCATCGCCAATCTAGATCCCCACACGGACGCCTCGAAGAACTACCACGAGAGCTAATGGACTGCTCGGTTCATCCGTTTGGTATTGCTCCTTGCCCAATGAGTACTGACCGGATGCCTGGAGCGAGCTGGCACGAGGTCCATCGGTGTACTCTCGCCTATTGCAACTGTATGGGGCTATGGTCTGGGGGTTCTGCGGACATGGTTCTCGAACAAGCCTCGTGGCAGCCCAAAAGCCAGCCCTGCAGGTCAAAGGCACAGTAGTGCGCAGCCCCGCCCAGCTGGGAGCCTTGACCTCGCACTCCAGATCTTTGAGAAACACTACTTTATCACTGCAGTACGGAATCATATATAGTCTGGTCTAATTTGCGCACTCTCGGATCATTCAAGATATTACAACTGTTGACCCAATATGTCTCTCGAGGAATTGACAAGCAAGTCGTATGGTACGTACACATTCATCAGTACATTTCTTTGCTAACTCTTCGATACTTGCAGACTACATCGTTGTTGGAGGTGGCACCGCGGGCTTGGTCATTGCAGCTCGTCTAACAGAGGACCCCAACATTTCTGTAGCTATCCTTGAAGCTGGCGGCAATGGACTGAATGACCTCTTGATCGATGCACCAAACATGTTCACTCAGCTCTGGGGCAAATCACAATATGATTGGGATTACAAGACTGTCCCTCAGGTAAGCACATGATGTGCTGGAATTGGCTTCATCTAACGATCTGGCAGGAGGGCACAGTCGGTCGGGTGCACGGCTGGGCCCGAGGCAAAGTCCTTGGTGGCAGCTCAGCTATCAATTACAACATGTTCAGCATGGCTTCCAAGCAAGATCTGGACAACTGGGCAGAGCTCGGCAATAAAGGCTGGTCCTTTGACGATATGAAGGCCTACTACAAAAAGTTCGAAACATATCACCCAGCATCAGAGACCTTTGGAAAGGGCATGGACGACAAATACCTCGACAGATCACTTCGCGGCACCTCTGGTCCAGTCCATGTCAGTGGTCATTGGCAACTCATGGATCTTGCTAATCGAACTAGATATCTTTCCCAGAAACCGACGTTACATGGGGCCAGGACGTGTGGCCCAAGACTGTAGTAAATGCCGGATACTCGCCCGCAAAGGATCCTCGTACTGGCTCGGCGATTGGCGGCTTCAATCAGCTCAACACTATCGACCCCAAGCACAACAGACGAAGCTACGCTGCGAGAGATTACTACGAGCCCAACGCGGACAGGTCAAACATGACTCTTATCACTCATGCCCTGGTCTCTAAAATCGAGCTTGAGAAGACCTTTGACAGTGTCAAGGCCACCGGTGTTCACTTCACAGTTGATGGCACTACGCACATGATGAACGCGAGCAAAGAGGTCATAATCTGCGGCGGCGTTGTCAACTCCCCCCAGATCCTAGAACTCTCCGGTATCGGGTCATCTACTGTACTTGAGAAGGCTGGAATTGACGTCCTCGTCGATCTCCCAGGCGTCGGGGAGAACTTGTCCGATCACACAGCAACTGGTCTCGTACTGGTGAGTGTGTATATTGCTTTGGTTACTTCCATACACTGACCTTCCCCAGGGTGTAAAAGATGAATACCCAACCGCCGAAGCTCTCGTCCAGAACCCAGCTGTCATGCAGCAAGCCCTAGAAGCATACATTACCCACAAAGCCGGTCCATTTGCAGGAGCGCCTACAACGACAGGCTTCGCCTCTCTTGCAAAGATCGAGCCCGACTTTCCAAACGCAGAGTCGCACATCCAATCTCTCCTTGAAGACTTCCGCAGTAAACATCCCGATGCCGACCCTGCAGGTCGCGACACCCTCTATGGGCGCCAACTCCTCAATCCTAAAGAAGCAGTTTGTCAAATCGTAATGCTGCCTACGGGCGCACAGATGCAGAACCCAGAGTCGGCTAGCGGACTGTTTCCGTCTGTAGAAGAGGGTATGTGGTGCACCATAGGCGCATGCAGTACACGTTCTCTGTCTCGCGGTAGTGTACACATCAACAGCTCTGACCCTACCGCGTATCCTACAATCGACCCAGCGTACTTCTCTCATCCCCTCGACCTCGACATGATGGCCCGAGCGCTCCTTCACTGTATCTCCTTCACATCCGTAGAGCCGCTTGCCTCAGTCCTCCGCAGAGACCCCGATGGCAACCTCATCACGTCTAAAACCGCCGGCCCAGTACCCAAGACACTGCAAGAAGCGAAGACCTTTGTGCAGAATAGTACGGTGACGGAGTATCATCCCGTTGGTACTTGTGCCATGCTACCAAAGGAGAAAGGCGGTGTTGTAGATGCGGAATTGAAAGTTCACGGCGTGGAAGGACTGAGGGTGGTGGATGCTAGTATCTTCCCGACCCATGTACAGGGCAATATTGTTAGCTTGGTGTATGCTGTTGCGGAGAAGGCGGCAGATTTGATCAAGGGTTTGGATGGCATGGATGTTGTGGAAAGGATAGATAGTCTGCGCGTTGACTGAATAGGGAAGTTCATTGCAGTTTTGAGGAAATGCAATCGATTCTCATGATGAGAAGCAAGCAGTAGCAACCTGAGGCATGCCAGTTGACTCAGCTCAATGCGCGCCTAAACTAGGCTCAATGCAAATAGTGCCCATGCTAACGCGTGCAGGGCTGGTGAACGCCAGTACGCACTCCTAGGCGAGAAGGAACTTGACAACAACAACCTGAATCAGTATATTGGCCTCTTACACTGATTTGATACAGTATCGCAGGCACGGCAACCAAAACATGGTTTTCGCAGCAAGATCGCCGCAATGACGTAGCGTCTAATCTTACAATCGCTCCTGCGTACCCAGGTAAGTCCAAGCGTTCCTTTGAACGAACTTGCCCAATCCGATCCGGCAGGAACACTGCAACGTGAAACCTGCTTTGTCCTTTTCTTGTCGTAAGACGCGAGAAATTGCGGCAGTCGCCGATCTATAAACAATCACGATTCCGTCTCTCTCTCTCTTCTGTCTAGAGAATTTGCTTCAGCATTCGCCCCCGACGGAATTCGTTGACAGCCATCCCATCCGGGTATCACAGTTCTCTCAAGTTCAGCATATCCAAGTAACGAACGCCACGCCAAAAGCCGAAATGTCAACACGCAAATCCAGCCGCGCAACCAAAGCGGTAAAATACACATCCGCATCCGAAGGCTCGGATTTCGAGGACAAGAAGCGGAAGCCCAGGAAGGCAACTACAGCTACCCCCAAAGGACCTACAAAAAGGACAAAAGCAGCACCAAACGCGACCACCGTTTCGGGAAAGAAGGCCCCCATGAACCCCAAGCGCCCCGCCGAATCCGACGACAACGAGTCCAGCAACGAAGCCGCCGCCATCTTACCGCCTAAACCCAAGCGCCAAAAGAAAGACCCCGAGACACTCGCCCAAGAAGCCCACGAGAAGCAGGTCAAAGCCGACAAAGCGCTGCACAAACAAAACTGGCAGGACTGGCTCGCCTCCCACTCCGTCGAAGGCGAGATGCTTGAAGAAGAGCCCGACAAGGAAGAAAGTATCACGCAAACCGACGCGCTGAAGAAGTACGGGCTCAAGAAAGAGGAACTGACGTCCCTGCTGCGGTACGAGAAGAAGAACCCGTTGTATGGCGGGACAATGAAGTTGTTCCTCGAGGAAAACGTGAGGGAGTTGGGCTTCAGGAAGATGGGGATGCTGGAGGGGGTAGAAGGAGGTGATGAGGAGGTGATGAGGAGGGGGCAGGAGATTTGGCAAGCAGAGTAAGTTGACATGTGTGTTATCTAATTGAGTAGATATACTAACACGAGATCTTAGGCATAAAGACGATCCTGAGTCTGAGGACGAAGCGAAACCGACGAAATTGAAGAAGGCCGAAAAGTCCGCGCCGACAAAAGAGAAAAAGGAAACATCGGCCAAACCCGAGAAATCGAAGAAGGACGCCCCAGTCAAACCCACCAAAGAAAGAACACCCAAGCAAAAGTGGTCAGCATACATATCCGCACACACCCTCGCTGCCGACTCGAACCTCACCGAAGAGCCATCCGACGTCATCAATCAAACAGAGTGCAAGAACAAGTACAGTCTCACGCCCCAGGACCTAGCTTGTCTGTCTTTCTTCCCCAAGAAGAACCCGGTGTACGGGAAAATCATGAAGTTATTCGAAGAGAGCGAAGTGAAGAAGTTGGCGTATGTGAAGACTGCTGTTCTAGCTGGAGTGGAGGACGATGGTAAGGATGAAGGGGCGTTGGTGAAGGAGGGGAGGAAGATTTTTGAGGAGCAGCGAGAGGGGGAGGAGGATGAGGAAGAGTAGGGGCTGTTTGGTACGCGGCCACGACTGATATGGTCCGCAGCGACATGCAACAACAGGATTCGTGAATTTACGAGATTACCGTCCTGACTTTTCCCTTGTATCCGCTTTTACTACCCTGACTCCGATCTCACCTACCCGAATCCTCTCACCACTTGATAGCCTTCTTGAACACAGGAACCTCCTCGAAAGTATCCACACTCCACTTCAACTTCCCATCCCCCGTGATCCACGCACCCTGATCAGTAGCCTTCAGTCCAGTCTTCTCGTTCTCGCTAATCTCATGCTTACTTGCGCCAATGCTGTCCTTTGCCAACCAAACAACCGGCGTCTTACTCGTGAAAGCAGGGTTCAGGTAGGCTTTCTTCAGGTCCTCGTTGCTGTATTGAGGTTCCTCATCTTCGTCAAAGTCGCCGTCGCGCAGCCAAGCCTTCAAGGCAGTGTAGCTACCGAACACGTGTGGCTGTAGGAACCGGGCAACAGGCGAGACGACCTTGGACGGCACATGCGTCCGTTCGCTCACGCGATCAATCCTCGACTCTGCGTGCTGAAGAGCTTCAGATTCGCCTTCCTCTGCCGAAGACAGTAGTGGTGCCTGCTCACTGTCTTCAGAGTCGAGCGCGAGATCCGCGGGTAGGTATCGTTCGAGTGGAGCGAAGTAACGGTTCGTGATATAGTTGAAGATGGCGGTGGCGAAAAGTAGAATGACAAGCATGATTAGAGGACCAGTCGCTTCGCGTAAACTGAAGAGACCGACAAGGCACAGCTCGGCGATGTAGATACCAGTGAGAAGATGCTGCAGAGAAAGCGTGTACGCATGTCCTTTAGTGTCGATTTTCGGTGTCGCGGTATACAACAGCTGGTACTGGTAGCACCAGTAGAAGATTACAAGACCGATAGCAGCGACGCCAAGGACGAGAGGCGCGATACAGGAGTAAACGATCGCTGCAATAGATCAGTAACAGGTCGTCTGTGACATCTGAGATGACTTACCGATGACGACAAAGTTGCCGTACTTCGGGAATAGCTTGCCCCAAGCCATGCCCCTCATTGTGGTGAAGCTGTTGTACTTCTGACGGGGGGTCTTATCGAAGAATCTGTCATAGAAAACATACGACAGCACGTCGGTGTAGTTCAGTATGTTACTTGGGGCATTGGTCAAAGCCTGGACAATGAAGTACGCCAGATAGGTGTTTGATGCTCTCGGCAAACGCTCCGCGAGTTGCTGTGGTATTCGGCTTGGATCTTTGACGATTTGCGATACTACCGCTGCAGCACCTGAAGCGAGTGTGGTGACAAGGAAGACCTGCAGTACTTGGAAGACAAAGTACCACTTGAGCACCTTCAGCTCAATGACAGTCTTAGTCGGCTCTCCGAATTTTGTAAAGATGTCTGCATTATGTCAGCCCGAAGGTAGCAATATAGGTCAAAGGAGGACACTTACACCTAAAGATTTTAGGTACGTAGCTAGCCAACGCGCTCAAGGCCAGAGAAGGTAGGAGACCACTAAGTAGGCTCATAAGTCCGGATGGAAGCTTGTTGAGGAACGCGAGCCATTTAAAATTCTCGGCGAGATATTCAACATTCGACAATGCACCGACTACTCCAACTGGAATGGACCAAAGTATGATGACAGCGACGACTAGGGTGATGGCTACTCCACTCTGAGATATCCGATGCGCAGGTGCTAGGTTCAGGTTGGCCCAGATAACTTCATTGGGCGTAGTACCGACAAAGCGAGGGGTGAGAGACAGAATGTCAGACGATGCGATCTGTTGGTAGGCTCTCTGAGCCGCGGGCTGGGTGCGAAACTCAACGAAGACCGCCGCAGCTCCACCAAGACTCTCAGCTGTCTCGTTCGATTCGCGAGCCTTCTCGATGTCATTCTCTTTCTCCTTAATCTGGTCTCGGAAATAGCTGATGCTGTCAACTTCCTTGCCAACCACTGGTGTCTTGGATTTGTGTGTAGGTCGTAGGGACTTCTTCATTTGCTTGGGTAGCTGCTCGTATTTGATGTTGCGGTTGTGGCTCTTCCCAACTTCCTTGTTGACGTTCAGAATTAGGGACATCTCGGCACCCTCTAGCTCCTCGACTTTCGAGTTCCTCTCTGAAACGAGCGACACAAGCTTCTCGCCTTTGGTAACTGGCCAGATCCTGACTGCATCGTCGCCGAAGAACCGTTGCATGTTGCCTTCGTCGAGAGCTGCGGTAGGTGCCGAGAGGTAGAGTACGGTACGTGAAGACAGCCTCTTCGCGTTCGGCTTTGACAGATTCCATGCTTGCCGCAGTCCGATTAGCCATAGGCGTTCTCGTGCAACAGTGAACATGACAAAACTGAAAAATATCCATGCCACAACGGCATGCGCATAGAGATGGTCCTTGTGCTTCACATTGCCGATACCAACGCGATTAAGTTCCTTGGAATTGCCGCCACCGGTATAATTGGCAGGCAGAAGGATAGGCCAGGTAATGACTGCACCACCGACGCAGATGAAGATAAGAGTCCTCATGAATCGCAGGAACAAGTACGAGTCAAGCGACTGGTGGTAAAGCATGAACTTGTCCGGAACGGTCCTCATGGTGTGGACCCATTCGAAGTAGCCTGGCGATTTCGAACATGGCGTGCGATCCTTTTCTGGTACGGTGCCAATAAACGTCCGTGGTGAGTAGATCTTGGGGAAGCGGCGCCAGATGAGGACAAACGCGACCATGTACAAAGTCGCAATCACGGCCGTGGGCACGAAAGCTGCAGCGAGTGACGCGAACGAAGAAGGGCCGCTAGACTTCGTGACAGGGGATGTTAGTACACGCGTTTTGAGTAAAGTCGGGGTGTGGACGCAGGTACGTACCGACTGGACATGGCTGGTGCCATGGTCTTTGGCGACGAACACCGTCTGAAGATCCATGCCGGGTGTCTGTTGTGGGGCAAGAACTGATTAGCAATGCCTCATAGCCGATGCAGGACGAGAAATTACAGATTGGCAAAGCGGAAGAGGTTGTGACGGAGGCTTTGCGCGCTTCTGCCTGTGTTGACGAGTGTTGCGGAGAGCGATGGGTGAAGCCTGTCAAGCAGGGACGCCGATGACGTAGACGCGTCAGTGGCGCGGATTCATGCAGGTCACGTGTGACTCACTTTGAGACAGCAAACCAACATGACAGACCCGGGCTCGTCCAATCATGCAATAGATATGTTCAGAGGACCTAAGGCGTCCAGTACAATTAATGCGCGCATGATGAACCCAGTCGACATTATTACAATGTTATATGTATGCCTACGTAACTAAGAAAGCCCCATCCGGTATTCGTACAACAGTCTATAACGCGTGGTATCGCAGTATGCAAGCCTGTTACCCACTATCCAAAACGCCCACAAAGGAAAGATCCCGACAAATGCCTAACGCCGCCGTATGCAAGAAAATAAACTGGATACTACTGGGCACACCTAGAGCCACAGCAGCCATCTGATCACTCCAACCCCCATACCAAATACTCTCTTGACAGATCCGACGAGCACAACGATGAGCCAAAGACACCACATGAGTGCAACGAGAGCCCATTCAACGAGCATCCATCCAAATCCTCGGATCCAGCGCATCCTGCGTTTGCGCGTGCGAATCATGCGGTCAATCTTGTCTGTGATCTGCTTGACCTGCAGGGGGCCTTGTCCGGAGACCTCACTCGTGATGCGCACAGCTTGGTCCCCGCTTTCTAGAATACGCGGCATGAGGTCAGAGTCGACCGTAGATTGCAAAGCCGAGATCTGGTTGGTGAGTTGCTGAATGGCTTTATCGCGGAAAGATTCAAGTGAGGACTGTAATGCCTTTGTGGATGACTCCAGATCCTTGACCAACATGCGTGCAGCAAGAACGTGCTCTTCCTTGCGCGGAACGGGGTAGAGTCGCATCTTTGATGTAGCGGCAGCGCGACTCAGGAAGTCGGGAGGCGGATCTCTTATACTGTGCGCGCGTCGGTCGATTTCCCTTGCTTTGACGCCTGAGCAGAGGAATAGAGCGCGCACTCGAGCGATGTCCGCTTGGGTAACACCATTCGCGTTTTTGTTACGATCAGCAGCATTGTCATCGCCGTCGGCAATGCTCCAGTGTCTCCCGTTAAGCCCAGGCCGAGAGGCACTACGCCGCCTATGCGAGCCCTGTGCGTTTCGGAGTCCAGTGGGAGGGAGGCCCACCATGTCACCGCCAGGCCGAGCGAGCACTTCGTTGATCCGCTCCTGACTGTGGCTCTGAGTAAGAGTGAGATCTCCTGCGGAAGAGTTCCCGGATATAGTACCAAGGTCCATACGTGGTGGTAAAAGCCGATCAATTCTAGGAGAGCGACTGTTCTTCTGCTCTCGCGCCTGGCGTGAGATGTGATGCTCAAAATCCGATTCCTCATTGGGGATTGTGTGAATTGGCCGGAACGAAGGTAGATCAAGATGGTTGCGGTCGTTGTTGGTAACACTACCATCTGTCCCTGCCGTGACGGTCCGACTCATCGGTGGCTGTTTGCTGTGCTTGGCTTTGACCGTGCCATAATCGTCGAAATCGACAGAGTTGCGATCAGACACGGTGTCCGCATCCGAGTCGTCGGCCCGGTCTCTTCTGAAGATGATATCACCGACTTTGGTGCCCTCGTTCTTCACGCCCTTGAAGAATCTTGTGACAGCTGAATGTGGCTCCTGAGTGTCCCTGCGACGTAGCTTATCCGGGCTAGGCAAGCTACTGACACTATCATTCTTGCGGTGACCGAGTAGATTCATCACAGCACCTGGAGCTGCTAGGATGGCTGTTCCGATGTGTTTGTCTTCTTTGTCGTCTGGAGTTTCCTCGCTGGTCTGCCGAGATCTGGCCTTCCTGTCTGTTCCAGCAGATTCTGGGCGGAATTCGTGTTTGTGATCATCACTGTGGTCATGCGAATGGAAAATGCTGTTGAATTTGCCCCGTTTCGCTTTCCTCGTCTGTGAGTTTGACCGACTTGGAGGTGATGAGAGATCGCCTCCAATATGTGGGAAGCGTTTGGCGTGTGGAGTGTTTGGAGCTGAGCTGTCTTGGTCATCGAAAGACGAACGAGGCTCATTATCGTCAATGGAAAGAGACAGAGCTGTACGAGCCTTCGGTGGCATCTTGAAGTTGCGCCGCTCCTTCATGTATGCGAAGCCGTTCGTAGGGCGGGGGACTTCCAGCGAGTCTCTAGATGGCCTGCTGTCTGATGTGACCTCTTCATTCCGCCCCCATTTGTTCGGCGTATCCGGTGTGAAGTCAGGGGTTGACTTGGGTTGTGACTCTCGCGCTTGTTGCTCAAGAAGCAAAGCCAAAGGACCGGTGTTGTGATCTGGGTCGGTGACTATACGAGTCTTTCGTTTGCGAGTATCTGATTCTGACTCTGAGCTATCGCTATCGTCGTGGCTGCGCAGCCGTGAACCCCGTCTAGAATGCTTGCCGCCTCTAGGGCTATCAGTTCGCAGCGCTGGAAGCAACCTTCGCTTGCGCCCACGTTCGCTGCCTTTGTCGCTCTCGTCACCTGTCGTGTGATCGACTGCGATGCTGGGCAGGCCATCAATCCAGCTCTTCCTTCGGTTATCAGGGTAGTCTTTGCTTGCGCGCGGTGATAGGAAGTCTTTTGGCTGGACCTCTTTGGGAGGCGGATATACCTTCCGGCCGTAGCGATTCTCCACAAGCAGCTTGTTGTCGCCTTGTTCCAGCCAGTGCGCGTCCGCAAGCAACTCTTGTGGGCTGAAAATCCAGCCTTTGTGAGGTCTCGCAGGCTTGCTCGGGGCAGGTCCCACTTCGTGATCGTGGTGTATCTTGGGTAGCTGTACGGCATCGTCTCGACGGTAGCCGGCTCGCTTCGCATGCTGCTCAACGCGATCCACCCACTCGCGTACCTGCTCAACGTCGTCAAATTCTTCCGAAGAGTGGTCGAGCGTGACTCGCTCCCGAGCCCTGCTCCGGCGGTTTCGTATGTATTGGAGAGGGTTGTACGGTCGGCCGAGTTCGTGCTGTTTGCCAGCGTGAGACGGCACGCGGGTGAGCTGTGCCTGGGGACTGCCTGGGACGCTGCTTGAGGAAAAGACAAAGTTGCCTGGGTTGTTAGCATCGGGTTTCAGAGGCGGTAGAAATTCCAAAAGTCGCAGATACTCCATGCGAAGCTCGATGTACGCGCGCGCTTTCTCGACTCGAGCAATCGTGGCAGGAGACGTGTTGATGTTCTGCGCGCCGGGAAATGCGATGGATGCGCTTCTCTGCATGGAGGTAGACATGTGGCGGGTTGGAGAGCTCTGGCCGCCCATTGGGGATATGTTGCGTGAAGTGCGCCGTTGCTCATTGAGATACTGCTTGAGACTGCCGCCAGCGCCATAGTTGGAGAAGCTGCCCTCTCGCTGAGAAGCAGAGGGAACCCGTGACTGGGATGCCAGAAGCTGACCACTGCTGATGTGTCGCCTTCGACTCTCGCTCAGGTTCAGCGCCATGTGTACCAGCTGGTTCGGGTCAATGGCCTGCCGTGGCTGCGCGGTGTTGGGCGAGGGGTCTCGATCACGGGCTGGAGGCTGCATGCTGTATGCGCTCCCCCTAGTCTTGCCAATGCGTATGCGCTCGTCGTGTCGGTCCTGGGAGTCGGTGAAGTTAATGCGGGATGCTGCGCCGGGGGCAGGGCCTGGGCCATCTCTCTGTACCTCTCGCGACAGAGGCGAGCTGGCTGCATCCTTCTCGTGTGTGCCATGGTGTCGCGAGGTGCGCTTGCCCTTTGCCTCGTCCCGGTGAGCCTCGTGGTTGCCATGTCGCTGCCGTGGCCCGCTGGGAAAGTTTGAATCTAGAAGGAAGCCGCCAGATCTGCGAACGCGCTGCTTCCGGCGCGCAAAGTCTTCCTCGTGCACCGAGTCCCTAGCCAGCAGGCTGCCCGATGCTGAGCTCCCTGCGTCGTTGGTCGCGCCTGTGCCGGGCCTGAAATCTTGGCTCCGCCGCGGGGAAGAGCTCCCTTCGCCGTGGTCGGTGTAGGCGCCCGAGTTGCTGGCGATGTATGTGTGCGAGGAAGTCGTCCAGCGGTCCGAGTCTCCCGACGGCCGGCCATGACTGGAGCTTGCTGACATTGCTGGTGATGGCGCCTATGTCACCTCGAAGGGCCAGGGGGGCGCATGGCGGATGCCGACGGCTGCGCGAGCAGAGGTGCGGCCGTCTCCGGGGTATCGCGACCAGGCGATGTTGCGACGAGATGCTCACGTGTAGGGCCTACGTAGCAGCGTATGAAATCATATGTGGGGTGGGCGGCTCGATGCTGTCTGGAGGATGGCCTCGGTAGGAGAAGCATGATCGTCTGCACCCCTGTTTCTCCTCCAAACGTCAAGAGTGGGCCCGTGTGCAACAGGTCCTTCACATGCCATTTTGTCTTCACACTCACCAGGCCATCCGACTTTCTCATAAGACACATCAGAATTCGTGTGCTGGCTGTCGTTTTGAGCTGCTTGACGAGTATGGAGTGTTAATGTTCGTACTACTGGACATGGTCAGAAAAGCCAGCCACGAACACCAAACGCCGAGGTCGTCTTCAATAACACGTTCCTCAGCATGCAAGCCATATGATACATAGACTGGCCTTGCCAGACGTTCTAGCCCACTCGACCACATGGAAAACTTTCAGGCGTCCAGCACTACCGGCACTGTGGTAGCGACTTGTCTTTCCCGTCTTAGTATCAGCGGCAGAATCTAGGGTAGGCTAATGTGTTCGTCGGCAGTGGTCGGGTAGTTCGCATGGGCAAAGAAGATCAGACATAGCCGTCCACCTCATACAAAGAAGAAACTGAGCGGACCTGCAGCCTACACCAGGGTACAACAAGCAAATTAGGATATCTAGCGTCAATCAAGGCTTCAAGGTGGACCTCTTCACACCCATAGCGAACCGATAGGCAGCGGGTACCTTCCCCGAACACCACACTGCTCTATGCGGAGAGCACAAATCATGATCTGCTAATAGGTTCTCCTCCTGTATTACTACCGCTCGGCCACGGCATGTACCCGAGATATCCTACAGATCGACGGCGAGCCTGCTCCAAAGGACGCAAGTTGCCAGCTTTGCAGACTCTGGTCATGTATCCGTAGACATGTTTCTGGTGGACGTCTGCATACATTGTTGGGGTCCAGTGCGAGCATGTTCACGTATTGCTTGATTACCTAGGTAAGCTGATTCCATCTCAAGAGTTTGACTACATGTTCAGCTCTGCTCCGAATAACTGACAGTCGGTTGCACTGCTTCCAAACGATGGACCGAAATAAGTACAGTCCGCATCCGTCGTATTAGAGGCATTGCACTCGCATCTGCAGCGTGAGGCTGAGGAAAAAGCACAGTTGACCCGGACAGAGGGGCAGAGCCGAAGCTGACGGGCTAGTACGACTGCGCATGATGAGTGTAAGGGTAAAAATGCGAGCTGTGTGGTTGAACCTGTGAACCTGGAAGCAGTCTTCTCAACAAGGCCATCGGCAGGGCATGTATGGCTTATCGATTCGCAAACGTGGTTTTTCCTGTACTTCGCAAAAATGACGAGCATCTCGAGACATGAAACGTCGGCCCAGCCCTATGCAGGCTAGGAAGCTTACGAATCGATAAGCGTTACTCACACCCTTTCCCTCTGCAAGGCGCGTGCTTCAGCGCTGGGCGGGAAGGCTGACATGTTGCGCGCTGGAGCCTATCAAGGTAGCATCGGAGCGGTGTCAGAGCTGCATCATCGCGATGGTATGCCTCAAGTCAGGCAGATCGAATGTGGCATTCCTGCAACACAGGATGCATGGTGTTTTGCGACCACTGCTCGAATAGGGCAAGAGGGGTACCACGCCCGCGGTAGGGTCTTTTGATGCTAATCGGTGGATAAGGTTTCGTGGCCGCTGGACGTCAGCCTCGGGCCATCTGTCGACCGATCTTACATCTAGTGCCCATATACCGCATATCGGAGAGGTGGCCTAGTCTGACTTCAGCAAGGCGAAGGATCAGGGCCAAACTCCGTGTCTTCGTACAGTCTGATTGCGCCCCACCCGACAGACTCGCAAGATGGAGAGCGCAAGATCAACGCCGGCCAGGCTGAAGAAGGCTGCAGCCGATCGCGAATGACGGAGACGTCGTGCTTCCTAGGTGCAAGCCATGCCTCTGCAGCTGGACTCGAGGCTTGCTGAGACACCAATTGGCTCCTTGGATCGGCCACTCTTCGTAAAGCAAGCAAATTCCCACGCCCGCTGATTCGTCCAAAGCCTCGGCTCCGCTTGGGCCAGCCCAAAGGCGTCTTCCGGTACAGGCCCGGAGCAAGGCTGAACAAGGAAATAACGAGAGACAAGTGCAGCGAATGCTGATGCTGCCTTGCCAGAAGCATCTAGAGGGTGTCGTGATGTCGGGTGATGATGCGATGTGAATTGTCAATGTCCAGGTTGCTCCCGGGCTGCGAGAGTCGGTCGCGAGCCGGAACATCGAATTAGGAAAAGCATGACCAAGCCATGAACCACAATGCTCGCTCGCCCTAGCCAGCCCGCAACCCTCCGCTTTCTTGGACGTGCAGTTCGTTGCGAGACGGAATGATCCGAGCAGGGTTTGGACGGCAATCCTTCGTTCCTTTTGATTATCTGGCCCAGCTGGCCCAGAAACCGGCCCAGCTCAGCAGGCTGCGTCACCTGATTCGCCATGGCCTCAGCACACGTCGTTCAGCCTGAGGCAGGAGACCCAATAAGCACTCAGCTCGCCAGCTTGCCGTTTGTAGCGTGGCTTGCAGCTCAAGGCTCGTCCACTCACCTTGAGAAACGAGGCTGACTGCGCCATTCCAGCCTCGTGCGCACTCCACTGGGCCCAGCGAAAATCGGGATATCTTGCTGCCTGGCCCCCCGCCCTTTCTAGATCGACTTGGAAACACATCACACGTCCCTAGTACCCCAGGACTACACCTGCCATTCTCTGAACCTGTCGGTTTTAGCTGCCGTTAGAGCGACAGGACGCGCCCCACCAAGCGAGCCTCCCCAACACTCAACCGTATCGGACCGTGTGACAGACTTGCACAGCACTACTGGATTTCAGCCTGGTCGGAACCTACCTGGACTTCATCTGGCGCCATCAAGTTGATGCCTCCTACAAGAACCAGAGCCAGGATGAAAGAGAATGCGGCGACCACTACCCCTACCGTCACGGATACCAAGGCTAGCGAACCAATAGAGCCCGCTCCAGCACCAAGGGAGACCATTGTGACAGCACCTAGCATTCAGACGACGCCTGCTACTTCGCCCACCTTTGAAGCAAATTCGAAGCCTCCATCTCGCAGAGTATTGCGACTAAAGTGTCCGCTCTGCGGGGACTATCCCGATGGCTTCCGCAGTGAGCATGAGCTCCGACGTCATACCAACCGTGTGCACAAAAAGGCACGTAAAGTCTGGGTGACCATCGACACTTCGCCCGACAAGTCGTTCCTGGCCAACTGTAAGGCGTGCCAGACCGGAAAGAAGTACAACGAATGCTACAACGCCGCAAGTCACCTTCGACGCATGCACTTTCACCCCCACAAACGCGGTGAAAGGAAGATGACTGCAGCGGAGGCTCGACGCGGCGGGAAGCCTGGCGACTTGGATCCCCCAATGGAGGTCCTCAAAGCCAACTGGCTGCGGGAAGTGGACGAGATACTTGGAGACGACAACGAACCTACCGAGGAGGACGCAGCATCTACATCCTTATCGCCGACTCAGACTATGCCGCCGCAGATACAGCCACAGCTGCAGGCGCAGATTACTCCAAACAAGGCGGAAGTAAAGGCACCACCGACGCCAACTACACCTTCCACTCGGTCGATGGCGATAGATAGCATAGTTGAAAAGCAGAACGCTGCATGAACGCGGGCGCATATTAGATGGCGTATGGAAGGAAACGCCGATCCGCATTCTCATGTAGGCATGTTGAGTCGTGGTTCACCAGACGCGAGTCTGACAAACGGACTCGATCAATCTGCATTCTCTGGCACTGCTCTTTCTGCGGATGCGCCAACTGTTTCGCCCGACAGCGCTCGGAGAGTCAGGAGTCGGGACAGCGGTCGTCTACGAATAATGCCGATCATTACTGATTGCGCAAGGTTGATCTTGGAGGAGACTCGGAGCGGTAAAATTATTTGGCGTTGACGGGGTTGACGTTGGATGGCGGCAGGCTGTCGTAGATGTGCAGCAACTGCACAGTAGTTGGGTTGTGTTCTAGGCGGCGGCAACGTTTCAGTCTGACGGCGCCGTCACAATTAATCAGATGGATGTGGGAGGGTGGATTATTCTTCATAGACCCGCATTATGGGCTGTTCGATGCTGCGTTTATAGTGGCGATCTTGTAGTACATACATAGTATGAACAAATGACTTTGAACATGAAGTCTAGGAAACGTAAGAATTCTTCGACACGATTAGTTGTAAAGAGAAGAGAGGAGTGAAGGAGGTCCGAATAGGATGTGAGGTGCAATTAAGATACATGTCGATCAACGAAGGGGTGGCGGAACGGTACACCCGACTCAAACGGCTCGTGCGCAGCAATTTGAGTGCTGCATCGTGAATCCTTCGCAGCCACCACACCACCGTTGCAGCCACCACGAGGTATGTCGCTGACGTGTCTACCATGCCACTTTATACACGAGGCTGATTGTCCTGTCTAGCCGCATATTCCTCCGTGCGTACGCCATCGCCTATTATGCGCTTCCTCGCTCTCCGATAGCCTTAGCCTTGCCCGCGGAGTCTTAGATCTGGTCATGGCTGTGTCGCCTGCACACGCTCACGTATCACGACTCGTTACCGGCGCAGAGACAGTGCGTGCCACTCGCGAAACATAGTGTAGAACACAAGGTAGGGCTTGGGGTATAGCACCCACATCGGCGGACTATGGCCTTTCGCCGCGCATACGGCAACCTGGGGAGTCTATACAGCATCCCGCCCCCGGGCGCTGTGCCTTCGTTTGGGTTGACTAGGCCGCAGTATAATTCTGTAAATCTGGGCGGCCTCTACGCCCGCAGCAAGTCTAAGTTCCCGACTGGATGGGCATACTTTGAGGATGGGTCTGTTTTCATACTTCCCTTTGCGTGGTTCCCTCACGATACCTTCGA